GTATTTCCCTTTTTAGTCTATGGTACTCTGAGGACTACTGGAGTTTCCCGTCTCCACCATAGGATCTTCCCACAAACAACACATAAAAGTCTTTAACAATGTATAACAAAAGGTAATAGATAAAATAGTAAACTTTTAAATTAAGCATGTTAGCAATTGCTTTAAAAATCTGTACCTTAAAGGAGAGATATAGTGTCTCCTGGACATATTGTGAAATATGTAGTAGGTGATTTATTGGTTTTAAATGAATATTCCATTAGTGAAACCTGGAGTATGATGTTCTGAAGAGTCTGATTGTGCTTTTTTTATTTTTTTTCCAAGTTTCAAGCACCCGGAAGCCAAATGCTTTTCAAGGAAATTCACATAAAATAGGTTATTTGTGTGCAAGCCACCCATCTCAGTAGATTCAAGAGTTAACTAACATTCACAGAATTTAGAGCAGTTTTTAAATAGCAGTTTTGGATCTTAGGTGAGAACAAAGCCAGCTAAGATCAGTGCATTTCAATATCAGCTAATATTGTCTGGTTTTAATCTTCTTATAAAAAATACTCTCTTGTATGCCTGAAGACATATTTCATTGCAAGCTCCAGTAAATTGAAGGAGACAAGGATATGTGTGTGTTTATGGAGGGGGAGTGGTGCCAATGGGCAATCTTTTATCTATTTCTTTAACCTTCCTCATTTGTTTCATTTCCCCCTTATCTTTTCTTTGATTCCTAAATTATTTCTTTTTTTTAAAAAAAAAGATTTATTTATTTATTTTAGAAAGAGAGAGAGTGAGCAAGTGGGGGGAGGGGCAGAAGCAGAGGGGGAGAGAGAATCTCAAGCAGACTCCCCACTGAGTTGGGAGCCCAATGCAGGGGTTGGGATCCCACGACCCATGAGATCATGACCTGAACTGAAATCACGAGTTGGACGCTTAACTGACTGAGTCTCCCAGGTGTCCCCCGCTAAATTATTTCTTATGCTAACCTATACCCCATTAGTACAGAAGATAGATATCATCTACAACCTCTTTCTGAAATATTAATAAAGCACACTTAGCTGTACATGAAAAATTATTTAAATTTGCTAATTTTTCCCCTATTTTGTTAGCAACATTTCTCTGTGATGATGTAAATCTAGGGCAACTGCATTTTGGCATCGGGACCCTAAATGTGCTCCCTACTGGGCTGATTACTTGGGGCTAATGTAGTGTTCCATTCGTTGGATTCCACACGCTTCCCCCATATTGATTGCATTATCAGTAGTAGTAATCACAGATATCATTACCAGCCAATTACACAAACACATATCTAAAGTAGGTAACTTATTCACCAACATTATCTCTTACAAGTCTTAAATTTTGTAATGAAGCTGATCATCTTGACCAATTGAGTGTAGCTACATATTTTGATCTGGTAGGCTTAATGTGAGTGTATTGAATTATGTAGTAGGTAATTACTTACATATGTTTGTAACAACACAAATGGGAGCAATTTGAATGTAATCTGTTTCTTGTTCTGTTTGAGGGCTGCATTAGAGAAGGTTAACTGCTTTAAAAAATAGACCCAAGCATGTGTTTCGATCAAACACAATAGAAGTGTTTTTCCTGCTTATGTAACAGAACTGGTGTGAGAACTAGTACATGGGCATGCAGTCATCCAGAGACCCAGGTGGGTTTCTGACGTATTCAGTACAGAGTTCCAAAGTCACCCTGAAAGATTGACTTCAGGGAAAAAGAATATTGGGGAGCCAATGGGAGAGGTCTATGGGCTAATCCTGGCAGTGATGAGCATTCATGCTCTGTTGGGTAGTCACATGACCACACCTAACTACCAAAAAAGTGGGAATTATAATCTCTCCTAAGAAGTAGAGGAAAGCATGGATTTTTGGTGAGCAGTTAGCAATTTTTACCATAAATACTCAAAACAGAACTTGCTCTCTTTCCCTATTTAATGAATACTTTCCTTGGCTTGTCATTATTTGGAACTTCTGTCAGCTTACTTTTCTTTTCTTTCTTTTTTAAAGGTTTTATTTATTTATTTGACAGAAAGAGAGAGAGCACAAGCAGGGGGAGCTGCAGGCAGAGGGAGAAGCAGGGAGCCCGATGCGGAACTCGATCCCAGGACCCTGGGATCATGGCCTGAGCCGAAGGCAGACGCTTAACTGACTGAGCCACCCAGGCGTCCCTGCTTTTATTTTCTTTACACTCTGTCAGATATCTTCTAAAACCTATATCCAAGCCCTGCCTCTTAGACTTCCACATATTAAACAACTGAAGAATGGAGAATAAAAAGATCACAAAGTATTTTTTCACATTTTTAAACAAATAAAGTATGACCGTAGTATTGTAATATTTGTTGCAGTTGAAATTGTAGACAGGTAGGTTAGGATAAAAGGCTTTGGGGGCTAAAAAGGAGGTCTTCTTTTTCAACCCTCTTACTTCATAGATAAGGAACGTGAGGCTTGGCAAGATGAATTTGTTTAATTCTGTGGGAAGTATTAGTAGATCCCAACTCTTTCTCAAATCCAAGTCTCTTCCATAACGTGATTAGTCATCTTCTGTCATCACATTTCCTACAAAGCCTAAGCCATTGAATAATGACCATCTATTTACAGGAAAGAAGCAAAGCACAATACATTGTAACTGACGTAAGGCTAGTATGTTTAAATCTGCAATAAAATAGATCCCATACCTTTCTAGATTTTCCAAACTCACTTGAAGACCCATTATAAATTAGCTGCTCACTCGAGGGTTTTTGTTGTTGTTGTTGTTGTTTTTACTGCATTATTTTTCTTACTTCTTCAACAAAAGAATAATGGCTTCTAGATAAATCTTCTACAACTCTAAAATTATATAATCCATGGCATGTAGATTATAAATTTATGATCACCATGCCAAGTAATATTTAGAATTAAAAGTTCAGGGGAAACAAATGACAGAATTTGAAATATTGAAAGGTATGTTTCTTTTACGAGGAAAAGCCAAATCATTTTTTTATTAAAAAATTATATTGCCCTGTGCCTCAGTCAGTATGGCTCGGTCAGTTAAGTGTCTGCCTTAGGCTCAGGTCATGATCTCAGGGTCCTGGGATTGAGCTCTTGCTGGGGCTCCCTGCTCCGTGGGGAGTTCGCTTCTCCATCTCCCTCTGCTCTCCACTTGCACCCTGCATGCTCTCTCTCTCTCACTCAAATAAACAAAATCTTTTTTAAAAAAGTTTGCTACCCACTAAAAAGGCAATATAATATTTTTTAAAAATATTTACTTGTTAGAGAGAGAGAGAGTGCATGTGTGAGGTGGGAGGGGGGGCAGAAGGAGAGGGGCAAGCGGACTTCCCGTGGAGCTGGGAGCCTGACTGGGGAGGGGGGAGCCAGGATCATAACCTGAGCCAAAGGTAGACGCTTAACCCACTGAGCCACTCAAGCAGCCCAGTGGGTAGCAAACTCTTAGAAATAAGTGTAACTGTGTTATTGAGATGCTATGCTACCCTAGCCACAAAGATAAAATTTCTCATTTAATAGTCATTGCCCTAGCCTAATTTCATACTTTTTCTGCAAAGATGTTTAAAATGGCAACAGTACAGGAAAAGTGGCACAAGTCTAGATGTAGTCTAAATCATACAAACTTTAAGAAATTTTGAAATTATGTGGAAATTTGGGGTGATTCTTGCCATTCGTATTTATAGCAGACATTAACTGTGACTGATGGTTGATCTTATGCCATGAGTGAACCAAAATCATTCGAGTGACACACATCTGGGTTTTTTTAAAAGTTTAAAGAAAACTCAAACATCATCTTCAGACTTGGTTTTTCTTATGAACATCTAAACATGGCTGCAAGTTTACCGTGGAGTAATTTTTGCTTGTCACGGTGAGTAAGAATTAGATAATCTGGCAAACTTATTTTAGGTGAAAATGAGACAAGGCTTTGCTCCTTGCCTGTGCACCAAGCACAAATTAAAAGACCCGTCTAATTTTGTGATGTTACAAAAGAACAACAGTGTGAAAGGTAGATAAAGGAGATAAGCAGGCTTTGGTTGCTTTCATATTTAGCTGGTCCCCGCATTAGAAGTCTGCATTCAGTTGATTATTCATGTAAAAAAAAAATCCAGCAAAACACATAGTGTCACGATGTGTATGCATCAGGGACATCGAGGCTAAGACAGACCATCTTTTAATGTACTGTGGATTGTCATTTATATTGCTTTGATTTGCAAGGATTTTATATGCAGTCTCCTGGAGAGTAGAGATAGACACTTCTTTTTGGATCCTTTTTTGGATATACCCTCTTTAAATATGGGCAACATGTGTTCAGATCATTTTAAAAAGCTACAGTTTCATATTCTCCAAAGAGTCTGACATTGGTCCCCAAGGTGACACAGCATCTATTTTGAAAGAAAAATAATAAATGGGAAGAGCCTGTTCTTTCAACTTTTTTGGAATTTGGAGTCTATTAAAATCTAACTGAGATTTTCATAGGTGTTATGGAAACCATTTCTTTTGAAAAATGTTCAAATTGTAATATGACATAGATACAGTCAAAACCTGTAAGTTGCCTCTTGAGTTTGATTGTTCTTTTGAAAACAATCTGTATTAAGTATTATTACACAGAACCACATGAAGAGCAAAGAGAATGCATCGAGAAACTGAAATTGCATTTTAGTAATCAATTATTTTCAGTTACATGTGACTTCGGAAGAGTTTCTCTGAAGAAAAATACCTAGAGTTGATTTTATTCAAATTCGGGAATTCTTTCCTTTTAAAAAAATATGCATTCTGATATTTTTGTGTATGTAAATTTTTAACTCTCTAACTCTGTATATATTAAGGCACATGGCATCCTAAGTAGGACTATATTTAAAAAGTGAGTAATTTTATTTTTATAGCACTGAGTATGGCTTCTTTATACTGTGATGAATCTTGCTTTCTGCCTTTTATTTGCATAAGTAAAATCTTCATTTTTGCATCATCATGTATATTTTCGGCATATCATTAACATTAACTTTTTTGACTGTGCAGAGCCGGCTATTTGCCTCAGCATATTCCCCTGGAGATTATCAGATACCTGTCTGAGGAGAAGGATTTTCTTCCTTGGCATGCTGCCAGCCGAGCTCTTTATCCCCTTGATAAATTACTGGACCGCATGGAGAAATACAATGTCTTCAATGTAAAAAGACATATTTTCTTCTTTCTTATTTTCAGATGATGAACTGTTTTCTCATTATCCACTTTATGCAACTGGTCCTGGGTTATTTGTGTTTCTTCTTCTAATTTGTATTATCATTTTTGTCCTGATTTTCTGTGCAACACTGATGACAATTACTTGAAGAAGAAATGTAATAAGAGCTACTTTTCATTCTGGCCTAAAAGTGTCAATTAAGCTTAAATGCCTCAGAATTTAAGAACAAATATACATGGCAAATCCTTAAAGTTCAAACTTACTTTCCAAGTGTTAAAGGCCTCTGTGTTCACAAAGGACTTAACCTGGGTAGAGGGATCCCAAAGATCTTAACAGAATATAGACAGTTTCAGTAAAGATTCTTAGCCATTATTTTTATCCAAAAGGGCATAGCGAATTCAATTCACTTCCTTAATTAACAAGGGTAAGATCAACATTGAGGCGAGAGCCCCTTCATAATTGGGTCCAAGGGGATACAGGAGAGCAAACAATAGATAATCCAAATAGACACAAAGACATGACAAACATTCCAAAATGTTACCTGACCAGATTTCCCAAGCTGAAGTCTGGTAAGCCAACGCTGCACAGTGGACACCACCTAATCTAATTTAATAACCATTTTGAATAAGGTTAGGATTAAGTATAGCTAATGACCTTTTGATTCCTAAATTTCTTATCGCCAGTGAGGCTTTGCATATGACGCTATGTCCCTGTGCCTTCTCTCCCATCTTTGAGCCCAGTTTGGTTCCCTTCAGTTATCTTCGGAGTCTGCCCTGTGTTTTATAAAATCATCCTATGTCTTATGGCACACTGGCTCTGCTAATTAACCTCCACTAATTACTTGAGACTGGATTGCCATGGCATGAAATCTGTGTCTTAGCCCCCTCTACATTGTCTGATGGCCATCAGAGTTGCTTCTTGTTTCCTTATTCCAAGTCTGCATGCAAACACCTCTGTTTTGATATTTTCTTTAATTGGAATAATCCTGGCTTAACTGTTCATTGTCATTGGCATGGTCTAATCCCTGAGAACAGACATGCAAAAAAAAACGGATCGTTACAGTTCCGGTATAACTTTTCTCTGCTAGAGAAAGACTTCACTTCTCTTTTCTCCTTAACAGAGACACTGCAATGTTAAACTTCTGTAAAAGTAAAATACATTTCTATATATATTTGTACTTTGGAACAGTATTTTGTGTCAGCCACCTCAATTTCAGTAAAAGTTAAGAATTGCTTTTACTGTAATTTCAGTGCTTTCATTCCTTTGACAAAATTCAAGGACCATGTTAAAGTGAGGAAAGTGTATTTTACATTGCTGCTAATATTTAAATATATCATTAGCTCAATGGATTGTTGACTTTGAAATGCCATATTTTTTACTGAAGAGTGTTCTGTATGTGTCAGATTCAACAATGCTAGGCTAGTGGCTGGGCTTACATAACAGTTTTGCTTTAAATGTGCTCTGTTGATGTGAAATGCATAAATGTTAGGTGCTTATTTTCCATAAGCTATATCTACATACATTTGTATATATGTGTGCATGGCTGTCATTGTCACTGTTCCTCAGTGTCCTTGTTTTGCTACAAAAATTGTCATCTAAAATAGTGAATAGTGCAAATTATTTAATCATTCAATAGGAAGTAAAGAGTAGACTTCCCCCATTGCAATTTATTTTATCCTTATTTTCTATATTTGAAACACTGAGCCGGATGAAATTAGAGGATTTACCATGCCCATAATTTTACTGATATTTTAAAGTAGGTGCATTTCAAAAATATTTTAATCATATTATGTAATTGTAATGATCAGCTTGGAGAGGTTTGAAACTGACATCATCTTTATTTCCCCTAACCCCCATTTAGGAATATATTTTAAAGCAAGTTGCAGCTACGTACATCAAGCTTGGATGGCCAAAAAACAATTTTAATGGATCTCTTGTTCAAGCCTCCTACCAACATGAGTACTGTTTTATTTTCTTATTCGCTTCTTTTCCCCCAGAGCAGTACAATAACATACGAGTAGTACCATTGAGACTTTGGAAGCATGAGATGATCTTTCATTCTGCATCTTTCATTTCCCTTTGCTGGGAGGCCTGCTGATGGGCAGCATAGTTTCCACTACCTGGTACTGAGAACAAAAGCATACCCTTGCCATGTTTCAATGTAAGATCTGCCATTATTGGTAAAGGGGAGATTTGAACCCAGCCTCCTGCCCCCCCCAACTGTATTACTGTTTCCAGAGAAGACTTGTAGTATGCTGAACTTCTCCTCTGCCTAACCATCTCTTCCTCAGCAAAATAGGATTTCTGTATCGGGAAATTATCTTTGTGCTGATTATTTACTTATCTACTGCTTATGTAATGAGTGACCCTTCCTCCCCAGATATTAACACTGCTTTTTCACTGTTTTTCCTTTGGATGGTACCTAGAGAACTCCGGAGAGAAGTCATAATGCTGGCATGCAGTTTTGGCAACAAGCACTGTCACCAACAAGCATCAACACTTATTTCAGATTGGATTTCCAGCAACAGGAACAGGTAAATGGAACCAAATCCTGTATTTCTGGTATGATTTCATACTGCTCTCAGATTCTCAGTGGATGCATTGCATTTATCAATTGGTGGAAAACAAGACAAGAAAAAAACACTGCAAAACTGTGTTTCACGTTCATCGCTTATGAGGCAACAGCAGAAAAGCCACAAGGCACTTAACCTCTGGAGCATGTTGTGGAGTTTTAAACTATCTTAACCTAGGCCCTTATTCTTCATAAGGTGTCAGCTTATTTTGAATTTGGATGGCTTTGCTATTCCGTGAGAATAAAATAATTTTATGTAGGCCTAAGGTTCTTTTAAATGTTGTGGTATTTATTCATAAAACAACTGTAAGCATATGGTATAAGTAAAGTAGTATAACATATGTTAATATTAAAAACCAAAACCCAAAAAGGTTATAGAAAAAAGCTACTCTTTTAGTGACCCTTGACAGAGACCTTAAACTTGTGTCTTATCTTGGAATTTCACAATACAGGATTTTAATACATAATGTGATGTTAAAATCATTTAATAGAATTACCTTTGATAAAAATATTATACTAAATGTCACTTGTTAATGTTAATGAAAAGAATATTAAACATAAAAAAAATTGAAGATCATGATCTTTTCACCTAGTTTTTTAAACCTTTTTAGGTATCTTTATATTTCCAAGGAAATATTAGGTATCTTTATATTTCCATTTCTTATTACACTTTGGGCCATTTGTAATCACTCCTCCCCAGTCTTTGGCCCCTGTGTTAAGGAGGGTCCGATCAGAAAGGTGAGGAGCTGGAGGACAGTTTACTCAGAAGATGCAATTTTGCATGCCACCCTGGGCTTGCTTGTCCTGAGCTCAGTGGCTGGGCTGACTCCCTGGGTACAGAGAAAGGGACTTGTTCTAGGTGAATGTAGAGAACCACCCAGAGTGTAACCTACTTAAGGTAACCGTTTCTGGTCTTATCCCGAGCTAAGAACGAAAATACTTTACCACTATCGTCTCTCAGTTGATCCATCATGTACTCAAAGACAGTGATTAAATCTGTCACCAGTCTTCTCTAGAACTACAGCATTCTCCTTTATTAACTTTTACTAATGATTATCCTTTTTGCTAAGTCTTCTGAAAACTATTAAATTAAGCTTGGGAAATGTTATAACAAAAACTTTTCCTTTATTCCTACAACCTTCCTCAGTTCTACCACATGTACTTAGGTGATGAACACATAAAAATGTATCCAAAACCAATACATCCAAAATTGTATTAGGATACATAATCATAAATACATATGAGAAAAAAAGGTAAAATATACTATTTAAAGATCATGGTCTCTGCCATTTTGTTTTTTATTTGATTAGTCTTTTGTTTGTTTGTTTCATCATGCTACAGACACATGCATTTTCTCAGACCTGGCAGTTGCTTTTTATTTTTTATTTATTTATTTTTTTCAAAGATTTTATTTATTTATTTGAGAGAGAGAATGAGAACCAGAGAGCACGAGAGGGAAGAGGGTCAGAGGGAGAAGCAGACTCCCTGCTGAACAGGGAGCCCGATGTGGGACTCGATCCCGGGACTCCAGGATCATGACCTGAGCCAAAGGCAGTTGCTTAACCAACTGAGCCACCCAGGCGCCCTGGCAGTTGCTTTTTAACCCATAAAAGTATAGCTATTGGGAAAATGCTATTTTTTTAAATAATTCATTTAGTTAACAAAATTTTACCGAGCAATTCTCAATACCAACTGGTGGCCAGAAAGCAAAGAGAAGAGGGAGAGCTCAAAATTAGTAGAGAGTACATCTCTATAAACAAATAGTTGTTCTTTGAAGCAAGAGCTGAGCACATGACAGTGTGAACAAGAAGGGAGGGACCACTGCTTTGGAGGAATCACATTCACCCTCATGAGGATGAGCAGGATCCTGTTGGATACAATGGACAGGCGGGATGTAGGAGCAGGTGCATGCGTACCTAAGGGGGTTGGGGAGCGGATGGGGATGCCAAGCAGAAGGAAGGCACATGGATTGATGTTTTGTTTAACGAGTGTAGTAAATTTCGATTTGTAAATTTGAACAATCCATCACTTCCCCAATTCCCTTATACATGAAAGTTTATGTATGAGGTATCAGTTCATTTCGGTTTTGATAACTCTGTCACTTACTTATGGCAAAATAACTAAATTTTGGTCTAATACTTGAAGGTTCTTTCATTCTTTCCTTCATCATTTGTATATTCTCTTCCTTTGCTTTCTTCTGTAACTGGAGAAGTAAACATGTTGAGTGGAACTAACTTTGTGTTTACTAAGATTTGCTCAGCCAGCCATATGACACATCCTTGCATATACAAGTGACCATCTGTGGTGAGGGTACAGGGTAGTCTCTGAGTTACCTGTGTGTGAGGATCAGGGATTTAACCTGTATTTTTTTCAGTGACAGCTTAATAATAAAACAATAGTGTGATCCTGTTGTTGATGCTGAGTTTAACCTTCTTAAATTGAGTCAATGAAGGGGAGGGTAAGGTTTCTTTTTAAATGTGCCTGAAGAAACACACTGGTCAGTTGCGTTTGTTTGTTTGTTTAACTCTTTCACACCTTAAAAATCATCCTTAAGAAAAGCCTCCCGGGGTAATGCAATAGGATACTTATAAAACGTTTTGGGAGATGCTGCATATGTATGCTAATAAATTTAAAGAACAGTGTTTCACGGAAGTTAGCAGGGATTGTGAATCTGGGGTGCTCTGCTATTTTACAGCCCAGTCTTGTTATGCTGGGGAGATAGGCCCAATCAGCGAGCTTGGATTTAGGAAGATAGAATGGATGTGAAAGTTGGTGTTGGGAAAGGTAATGGAACCAAAAAGTGCGTTGCAAAGCTAGAGATGCTAATAGCAGGGAGAGAAAAATTCAAAAATTACAGTGAATGATAAATTGAATGAGTCCAAATTCTGATCCCTGTTAATATATTCAAATGCTGCAGTGTGTTGAATTGTAATGGTGATGTCATGCATCAAAACGGATGAGCTACATTCAGGTCTTGTTAGGCTGTGATTTGGGGACTGAGTTCAGCAGAATACCACATCGCAGAAAAAAGACAAATTGCCAAGCATTCAGTAGAGAACAATACAAATGATAAAAAGATCTCGAAAACACGAGCTGTGAGAGGAGGTTATGAGATCTGAAAATTTCACTCTAAAAAAAAGACATAGAGAAGATGATAGCCTTTTGCATGTATTAAAAAACAATAATAAAAGGGACAGAAATTGGTTTCTGTCACTGATTAGTACAAATAAACAAGAAATAATTGGCATAAGCTTCACTCAGTAAAATATAGGGATTATATTATTACTGTAGGTGAATTATTAATTGAAAATTTCTGTATTAAAACACTATTGAGATTCTACAATTAACTATACAGAGATCACAATATGGTAATATGGGGTTTTTTTAATAAGCAATTTAATCTGAAATTAAATGTGTGTCCATAATAACACAGCCTCTTAATTTTGTGATAATGTATTATTTTTCAAATAATGTTAAAAGATACAATTTAAAGCTTTAAGCCAATACAGAACAAAAATTTAAAGTATTTAATTTTTAAAAAATATTCAATAGATACTGATATCCATTCCCTAAAAGATTAATTGATAACTGGTATCATTACTCTACTTAGAAAATATCCTGAAACAGTGGAGTACCTTCTACATTATGGGATATCAAAAATGTATATTGAATCGAAATGTATTGGAAATCATTTTGAAAACGGAAAAATTAGGGCCCTTCCATACTAAAAATTATAAGCGGAGGAGCATCTCTGGAGCTTTGCGACATATGTAATACATAAACTTCACTACTCATGCAATTCATTATAATGTTACTGGTATTGTTGTCTTTAATGATGATCATAATGAAAGATTATTTATTGAGCAGTTAGTACATTTCAACTGCTTTTTGTGCATGATCTCATCATTTTTATTTCATTTTTACAGAAGACAAATCCAAAACTCACAAAAGTTATATAACTTGCCAAGACTATATGACAACAGGCAGTGGATCTGGGATTCCTTTCCCAGACTGCCTGCCCTTCTAACCTGACCGCATGTGATGCTGTGGCGGTATGTCAAATTACCATATATCAGTAATATATGTTTGTTCAAAAATGATTTTAAAAAGAAGGAAGAATTAATTAAATTAATTTTTAATTTTTTAATTAAAAATTAAATCATTTTAAAAATGATTTAAAAAGAAGGTGATTTTAAAAAGGACACCCACCAGAACTTAAATACTCTCTGCAAAGAGTATAAACAATAGTTGAATGCAGGTTGTGCTCATGACATAAGCCCATGGTTCCCACATCTGGTCAATGTGTAAGAATCATTGAGAGGACCTGTGAAAGGGTTTGCTTGACCCCACCCCCAGTGTTCTAATTCAGTAGGTTGAATGGGGCCTAAGACCATGTATTCATGACAAGTTCCTGTGTGATGCTGATGCTGCTGGTCTGGGGACCAGTCTTTGGGAACCACTGGTGTAGGGAAAAGCTACTGTCTTCAAAGTCAAAGACACCAGTGATCAAAATGCAGCTGTGCCATTAAATGACCTGAGGCGCAAATCACTTGGTTTCATCATCTGAAAAACAGCAGTGATATTACTAACCGAACAAGTCATAAGAATTATACAAAAGAATGCCTATTTATTATTTGGCTTTTATAGGAAATCATAAAACGTGAATCATCTTTGGAGTTGCCTTCTACTTGTTTTGACCATACAGGTGGGTGGTGTAAGTTTTAAATGGGGAAAGTAGGAATAAGTATAGAATAGAGCAGTACAGAACATGTATAGAATGCCCTCATTATTTGATCTTCTCTGTAAGTTTGGGAGTTATAAGCATGTGACCTGTAATATAAAATATAAAACAAAGTATTACCATAGGGATTCTCAAATAGGAGCATGGGGATGTTTGCTCTTTTCTTCCTGCTTTAAGAAATACTGCTTGGCTTGGCCTCTAGGTAAAATGTTTCTTTTTCT